ATAATTACAACAGTTCATTTAAATTCTTGGCTAATATGTAGTTCAAATGCACATTAGACGAAAACAATTTCTTTATTTATTCTTATTTTTATTTGTTTATTCATTGTTCTATTATTTTTTCTTTGTAAAATTATCGCTCAAGTTTAAATCAAAAACTTTTTCATTTATTTTAAAGTCCAAAGAGAGAAATGGACTACTGTTTGTTTTAATTAATATTTTGTGCTGTATTCGGTTACTGCGCAGCAATAAACAACACTTTCAAATATAAACAGTTTTCTTGTTATTTTCTTAACTAGTGGTGTTTTAAATGTAATAAATGCATAATAGTGGTGATAACCGTGAAACAATGATTCACTTCCTCAGACTATAATCGTACAGCCTAAATCTATAATAGTTGCATCCCTAAGTGTTACACAGTTTAATACATAACATATGAATGTGTTTGAATGTAGAAGCCGACTTAAGCAGTACACTGATTTTGTGCCTCGAAATACAACATTTGGATATGGTTGTAAAAAAAAGACAGATTGTACAATGCAGTGATGTTATGTAGTTTTAAAATACAACATATTAACATTTTAATGTAGGCGAAGTCTATGTGTTTTTTTTTTTTTGTTTGTTTGTTTTTTTTAGCACAAATACAGCGTATGGGCTGTTGTGTCATCACCTATATTGCAAGTCATATCTATCCAGCCCCTCATTTGGAATGCTTTTCATGATTTGGCCCCCCCGACAAGTAGTCTTCGAAGCTATATCATGCATAATAATGAAGTTGCATTTCGTTCACAATAGAGTGAGCTGATTGGTTCAGACCAAGTCTTTCTCATGCATTAATAAACAGATGTACTCAAAATCAAAATTTATTTTTAAACCGGAAGAATTAGCTCTAAACAACGCAAAAACAACCAATTTTCACTTGTTAGCTAATTATATGCGCCCTAATAGTGTTTTTAGCAATCTGGGACGCATATATATGTCTGTCAATATGTCAAAAAATGTGTTTTGGCGTTTTGTGACCCTTCAAATGTTTTTTTTTTTTTTTTTAATAACTCCAAAAGTATTGATACATTTATAAATAATAATAGTAATAATAATAATAATAATAATAATAATTACTTATTATTTATATATATATATATATAATTTGCCTAACCAGTAACTGGGTAAACAGATATATAATAATGAATAAAATCAGATATATAATAACAATAATAATAATATTATTATTATTATTATTATTAATAATAATAATAATAATTAGGGATGTAACGGTATTGTAAATACCGTCATACCGCAATATAAATTTTTTTCGATATTACCGTAGTCGCATGACTCGGTAAAACTATAGGTCTTCTGAGAAAATTTGCTCAGGCGAATGAAGCGAACGGGAGGTAGCGAAAACTACAATTCCCATCAGCCCATGCTTGACCATCATCCCTTGCGGTCTGTTGTCGCTACAGATCCAGTAATGCGGAAATGGAGTGTGCTGCTAGAAGCGGGGATGAAAAAGAGCTGGAAAACTCTAAAGCGGGTGTTGTCGCCGCGCCCGTACTGAATAGCGGTGTTGTCGCGCAAGTTCTTATCAGCTGTGTTGTCGCGCGCGTACTGAATAGCGGTGTTGTCAGCACACTGTTCAGATTGATGCAGACATGAGACCTCTATCTCACTCATGGTTTGTCCTCTCAAGTGGGGGAAAGACAATGCACAACGTTACCCACTGCTGTCAACCTGGGCCAAGTCATATCTCTCTTGTCCCAGAAACCTCAGTCCCAAATGAGAGGGTTTTTTTCTGTTGCAGGGGACATTGTAAATACCCAGAGATACCAGCTTTTACCAGATTATATTTATATGATAATTTTCCTTAAAACCCATCTCTATCTAAGTGAGTTAGTGAGTGATTAAATGTTGAATGTGATGAGTTTTCAACAATACTAAATTGAAACTTTATTTTTTTACATGGTTTAATATTTTTTTGTTATTAAAATTGAAGTTCCTGTTTCAAAGCTTACAGATAGATGGCTTATTTGTATGTCATTGACACTTTTGGCACTTTTTTGGAGTATTTTCATAAGTTTTGTTTTTTCCTGTAAATGATTCAATAAATACCGTACCGTGACATTCATACCGAGGTATTACCGAACCGTGAAATTCTGATACCGTTACATCCCTAATAATAATATTAATAATAATAGTAAAAATAATGTCTGAAAAATATTGCTAAATAATGAGGGATATGTGCATTATACCTTGCAGTGTAATTGCAGGCAAATTGAAAATACTAATTTCCCATGCACTACATTTTTCAGGTTTACAGCAACAAAAGCAGAGTGAACCCAAAATGAGTTTCCTTTATGATTTAAGATTTCACCTCAGCATGTTGACAATCTCCTCTGTCCCTGGCGTCTGCTCTGAACGATCCAAACCTCTCGTTCTGTATGACAACAGACACCTGAACAGATGGATGCCGTCGCAGACAGACTGGGCCCGCTCGCGCTCTTAAGTACACTGAGAATCACTGACAGAGAGAATGATGGAGCACCTGGCATGGGAGAGAGACCTTCTGTTATGCCACTGTAAATTGGCTTGACAAGAAAAACGTTTCGCCTCTCAATGTCAGCCATTTGCACGCTGGCGTAAACGGAACTGCAGGCCGGCAGGTGCGGCTCAGGAAAGGGGAAAACTGATCCGCTGAACACATTTGCCTCATTAAGTGAGCTGCCCCGAGGCCATGAATTATGTTTGCCATTTTAATAGCTACAGAAATCCAAGTTAGAAATTGCCAGAGTGTTTTGTAGAAAGTTCTAGATAGTTGTAAATTAAAGTGGTCCTTGTATGTGTACTAAAAAACTTGCTAGAGTGTTAATAAACTGTGTCTAGGGTGTTTTGTCAGTTTGTAGGGTGTTGTAAGATAGTTGCTAGGTCTTATTTTGCGGTTTAGGAAGGGCTATCTAGTTTTTGTTGTGTTTAGGTGGTTAATATGCGTGGGGTCGAATGTGAATTCAGAATTTGCTAGAATGTTTTAAGTTGTTACTAAGGAGTTGAGAAATGGTTTCGGTGATTTGTTTGGGTAGTTGCTTTGGTGTTAAATTATGTTATGCTATGTAATTATTTTTTTTTTAAATGATTGCTAGGGTGTAGCATAAGTAACATCAACCCCTTTCACACATATAACTATTTCCAGAAAATTACCGGCCCATTTCTGGAAAGGGATCATGTGTGATCAGGGCCTTTCTGAAAATTCCGGTAAATTCGTTCTGGTGATTTTCCAGAGAGAGAAGTTGTAACATTACTGGTAATTTGCCGGAATGCTGCTCTGTGTGAACGCAGAATGAAAATTGCCGGAAAAAGCACATTCTCGATTAGAACATGCTAACGTGAGACATGTACTCCAGCCAATCAGAACACTCAGACGCTTTCACATCCCTACTGTTGATAAAAATAAAAGCCTTTGAATACTTTCCAGACACATTTAGGTGCTAGATATTAGTCAGATAATGTTTCTAAGATCCTTTTGAATGTCAGCTGTGTAAAAAGTCATTGATAAACTGCCGATTGTTTCCCATCAAGCTCTGCTTCAGTTGCTTGATGCATGTGCACTTGAAGTGAAGGAGTGCCGGCACACACACAAATGTACATCTCGACATAGAAAAGTGTTCCTCTATGATTTCATCAAAGTTGTTCACAATACTTATCTATCCACTGAATTTGTAATGTAGTCAAGTGTGTAAACATTTAGCTGAGGTTCACCTTTGGATGTGTCTGTGACAAAACAGCTCTATGAATGCTAAAGCTGTAAATAAAAGTGAAACTTTAACAAAAGTCTGACCCCTATTATGTTTACAAATAGGCACAGTTGTTTAGAACTCATTTCTGGTTAATGATGTCAGCATTTACCGGTATTTTGGAATAGACGTGTGAATGGTCTTTCCCGGAAAAATTCCGGAACGTCCATGCCTGTGTGAACAGCATTTATTTATTTATTTTTTTTAATTTACCGGTAAAGTTGTTCCAGAAATGTTTTAGATATTTACTGGTAGCACTGTTTGAAAGGGGCTATTGTAAATAGTAATGGTCTAAGTACTGCCCTGGGGTTCTCTATAATGCACTTGTTAAAATACACTATGGACAGCAGCTGCGCTAATTATTTTCTTTATTCTCAATTTCCACCTGAGGATACTTATTTCGAGGCCTCTAGAGATTATGCAGTGCCATTAATGCGATCCAAGACCTGTGAAAAGATGATGCCAAGGTATCCATAACCCTGGACCAGGCCGTATCCTGAGCAGATGCTGTGGCGGTCAAGGAGCAGTGGAGAGCATGAGACTAATTCATGAAAGACCCCAGTGACAGACGAGTCTTTGCATAGATCCTGTAGGCCAGCCTGAACACCCATCGGTGATGTCTTCAGGTGTTTCCTTGTTGTTCTGAGTGGCTGTTAAGGTGTTGCTATATGGTTTATGTTGTGTTGTGTTGTTGGTGGTTGGTATGCTGTTTGCTAGATATTGTTTCAAGGGTGTTTTGGGTTGTTGTCAGGGCATTATTAGACAACTGATAAGTTATAGCTTGTTGCTAGGTAGTTGGTAGAATGTACTGGAAGGTTCCTAGTGTGTCTTTAGCAGTTGCGCTAACATAAAGCTGTAGCTGCAATGTCTCCAGGAGTTGCTAATTTGTTCTGAGAGGTTGCTAACATATTAATATATGGTTTTTAATATATTCTGGGTGGTTGGTAAGCTGTTGATATATGGTTTCTAATGTATTTTGGGTAGTTGTGAGAGGATTATTAGACAACTGCAAAGTAGGTGGTTCCTATGTTGTTGCTATGCAGTTTGTAGAATGTATTAGGAGGTTGCTAGTGTTGTTTTTAGCATTTGCATGAATGCTAAACTGTAACCACCACTAATCCGTCACTAATATAAGAAAGAAAGAAAGAAAGAAAGAAAGAAAGAAAGAAAGAAAGAAAGAAAGAAAGAAAGAAAGAATATATAAGCGGACAGCCCTAATTATAATCAGTGTCTAAGCTTTATTTCATCGAAAGTATTAACACAAATTTATATTCAGAAATGCTCAAAGAGCACAAACAGAGTTCATTAAATCAATAGAAACAGCACATTGTAAAGATTATAGCTTGTCATTTGAAACTTTCTGGAAAATCACTTTGGCTTTCAACAGAGCAATTACCAGCTTACATGCTTTGGCCTTGGAGGCCCTAACCAGAAAACTTGGGAGCCAATTTTAACTTTAAACCTGAATGAGAAGACAAGAAAAAAGTAGTTAGTTGAAATCTTCAACTCTTTGCACTAAAACAGATGAGTCGTCTAATGGCTCCATCTGCTTCTTGCAGTTTTATGTTCTCATTATCTGGCCATTGGACACAGAAGGTGGTGGACAGGTCACAGTCTTTTAGTTCTCCACTCCGCTTTTACCTTCTGCTTTCTTCACCTTATAATGTTCCTCGCTGAGCTTCCTTAACTGTTCTGCAGCCTGTGAACAGAGTGAGAGAAAGACAAAGAAATAGACGATTCTGACTGAGTGAACTCAAGCTCAGACTGAACAATTACCACATTTACTTTCGATCAAAAGTTAGGGAGAAGAAAGTTTTAAAGGAATAGACCACTTTTTGGGAAATTTTACAACTCCCTAGAGTTAAACAGTTGAGTTTTACCATTTTTGAATCGTCTACACATCTGGTGGGAGCAGTTTTAGCTTAGCTTAATATAAACCATTCAATTAGATTAGAACATTTGCATCTCGCTCAAAACAATCCAAATAGATACTTTTCCTATTTAAAAATTGAGACTAATGCAGTTCCATTACTAAGAGAATGAGCAGAAGAAATGTTGCTCTTTTCTAGGTCGATATGGCTAGGAACCTTATAGTACTCTCATTCCAGTGTAATAATCAAGGAACTTTGCTGCCGTACTATGGGTGCGGAAGGTGCAATGATATTTAGCAATGTTAATACCTAGTTACTGTACCTATAGCTGGGGATTTTCAAGTACTGATCTAACTGGATTCAATAATTTCTCTTAAGTTGAGCTTAAAGTGTTGCTTTTAAACTGGGAAATCAGATGAATGGGTTTAAAAATGGTAAAACTCAACTGTTTAATTCAAGGGAAATTGTAAAATGAGACGAGCTCCAAAAAGTGAAGTGTTCCTTTAAGTGTTTCTGAAAACAGCTGATGACATTAATTTATTCATTTTCCTATGGCTTAGTCTCTATTCATGAGATCGCCACAGCGGAATGAACCACGAAGGCCAAATCCCAATTCTATTTTTTTACCCCTTCCCCTACCCCTGCCCCTTGGGCCTTAAAACCAAGTGTGAAACGAAAGGGCTTCAAAATTTACACCTAAGAATTGGGACAGCACCTGCACACATCATCATATGTCATCGCAATCGCTTGCTTCGTATGAGATCAGACAATCGCGACAGCTGTAGTTATTCCAGTTGTGCTATTTTTTAGTATTTATCTTCAAGAAATCACTGAAGGCATATATCATGTAATCAAAATGATCTAATGTGGCAATAAGATCTTAACTCTACTGTGCATTTACACAATGACCATATTCATATTCATATTCATGTAAACAAACTAAAACAACGTTAAAATTATAGCAGACGCTGTAAAAAAGTCATTCTCAGCCACTTTTCTGACAGGGTCAATGAGTGTCAGAATGTTGTGGGACTGCTGTACAGAAGTTAATATTATGTATTATAAAATTTTGTGGTTTTTATTTTAGCATTTGTTTTTTTAAAAGCATGATGGTAAAACACAAATGCGGTTATCAATATATTAAAACATGTGCTTGTTTGTTGTAAAAATTCATAATAATGACAAAAAATACTAATTTGTGGATCTCCTTACTTCCGGGTTTAACAATACTGTCATTGTGGCTGGTGTATTTTGGGAAGTTTTCTTACCCCTTGGTTTCGAATGTGGTCCTGAATAATCTTCATTCGAAGGGCTATCCAACCATTCCCCTTAGCCCTATGCCTTTAAGCTAAAGAGAATTGGGACACCCCTACCCTATAAAGTGAATGCACAAAACTAGCGGTCGGGGTAAGGGAAAGGGGTAGAATCGGGATAGGGCCCAACTATTCCAGCACATGTTTTATGCAGCAGATGCCCTTCTAGCTACAACCCAGTATTGGGAAACATCCATACATGTTCGCATTTACACTCATACACTACAGCCAATTTTGCTGACCTAATCGACTTACAGCGCATGTCTTTGTACTCTGGGGGAAACCAATGCAACTCTGATGCATGTTTGCAACAAAATAACAAAATCCATACTGAACAAAAATTGGGTGCGTTTTGCACATCACTGGGCTTTGGTTTTATATTTAATTTAATAATATTTAATTATGTATAGCTGAGATTGACAATATATAAGAAAAAATTAATACCCCTTAAGGGAAATTTTAATTATTCATGACTATAGCCTTTAAGTGAAACTGAATTTTTCTTCAAATATTCCTCTAATGCTGTTTAACAAAGATTGTGTTTAATGAAGTGTTAAATGAAGATGTTTTCAACATATTTTCAACATAATACTCTTAATAACTACATTATAATAATTAATTTATTTTGTCATTGCCATGATGACAATACACAATATTTTACTAATTACTTTTGCAAGGCACTGCTAGCCAGTTTAAAGTAAAATGTTAAGGCTTAATATTTTTTTATTTTCATTTAATAAATAAGATTTTTTAAATATTTTTTCTTACTCTAGAATAAAATCTAAAAGGAAATACTGTGAAAAATGTTCATGCTTTGTTAAACATCTTTTGTAAAATATTTAAAAAATAATTTCAAATGAATGCAAATAATTTTGTCTTTAACTTTTTATTAACTTTTTGCTGGCAGCTAGCTCTCTGCAACTCTCACATGGTCGCCTATTGAAGCTAAGCAGGGCTGTTACTGGTTAGTAATTGGATGGGAGACCACATGGTGTTAGGCTGCTGCAGGAAGTGGTGTAAGTAAGACCAGCAAGGGGTGCTCAACCTGTGATCTGTGTGGATCCTAAGGCCCCAGTATGATGATGGGGACTCTATACTGCTCAGTGAGCACCGTCTATGGCAGAGCAATTCAATTAGTTTGTCATGGGGGTCGGTTCATGAAAAGCATCCCAAACGAAGGGCCGGAGAGATTTAACTTGCTATATGAGTGATGAAACAACTGCATTTAAGAGTCCATATGCTTTATATTTTTGCTCCTTAAGACACCCATGTTGGCTTTGGCTACAATAAAATGTAAATATATTGTATTTTGAAATTACATAACATCAGTGCATTGTACAATAAACTTCAACAAACATTCAAATGTTGTATTTCAGAGCACAACAAAAGCAGTGCATTGCTTAAGTAGGCTTCTTCTACATTCAGACACATTGAAATGTTATGTTTTGAACTGCATAACAATTAGGGATGCAACAATTATAGATTTTGGTTGTACGATTATATAGTCTGAAGAATAATCATGGTTTCACTGTTATGTCTAATGTAAATTCAAGCTTTATATTAGGTAAGCAGCTATTTAGATGAACTGTTGCCATCTGCATTCATGCATACATAATCATTTTAATAATTATTCGTCTAACATATCTTTTCTTCACATTGCACTGAAAGGCACGCACAACTCTCACCATGAGATGTTTTCTACTGCATGCGCCCGGAAAGCCGCAAGCGTGTGGCTCAGCTGGCGCCCGCATATTGTCTTATATTCTTACATTAGAAATAACAAACTTGCAAGTGTAAAAGACGTGATATGGGAACGGCCGCTGCTATAGTTAATCCTGTATGCGTGCGTATTAGCTTCGGTGTACTTCAAACTTAAAACTAGTGCACAGGCAACTTGTCATTTTGCAGCGGTTTCGTTTCGTTTCGTTTCGTTCCGTGCAACAGAAATGCTGCTTAGAGAAGACTTTACGATTAATAAACTGTGACGAATTAAAGAGCAGTTAATAGTGAAATCGGCTATTCGGCTAAACGCATGTCACTTCATAACTATAGCGGCCGTTTGTGGACTGAACTAAATTTATTTTTGATGTCTTGGTCACACTGTTTGGAGGGCCGGAACAAAGTGCCTCGGGGGCCGGATTTGGTCCGCGGGCCACCAATTGAATAGCCCTGGTCTATGGGATGAGACGTTTAACCAAGGTCCTGACTCTCTGTAGTTATTATAAATCCCAGGATGTTCTTTGAAAAAGAGTAGGGGTTTAAACCCAATATCCTGGCCAAATATGCCTACTGGCCTCTGTCCATCATGGATTCGTAACCTTCCTCATATCATAATTGGCTTCATCGTTCTTTCTCCTCTCCACCAATCAGCTGGTGTGCAGTCTGGCACAATATTGCTGACGTTGCATCATCCAGGTGGATGCTGCACACTGGTGATGGATGAGGAGATTCCCCCTATGTGTAAAGTGCTTTGAGTGTCTGAAAAAGCACTACATAAATGTAAATAATTCTATAAACGAATACAATTGCACTTTTGTGTAATACACAAGTAGTTTAAAAATAAAAGTGTGCATCAAACAATAATTAATTGAGTTTATCATGATTATTTAAAGCAAAAACCATGTGACTAATTGTAATTTATTTTTTTACAAAATCATTGCCCAACACAACCCCTTACATTGTAAACACATTGACTTAACTTTTATAACATAGTTTGTTTACTTAATAATTATAAAAAACAATGAGTTTACTCTATTTTTTAAGTAAAGTCAACAAATCTCTTTCCACAGTACAAAAGCAGACAAGCTGATAGAGATAAAGTGTGAGTGAAAGGCTGGAGCGATGGAGTCATGGAACCACCAGCTGACCGTTCACTCTTTCATTATCCTGAAGCACAGCCCTGTGAGGCTGAGATGAAGCGACTTCACAGTTCTGTTACTTCCAGATCCAGTCTCTCAGCCACAGCGCTGTTTAATTCAAGGCTGTAGCCACCATTGAGTGAGAGGTCAGTCTCATAAACACTGGCAGCTGGGCTCACCATAGGAGAGCCGCATTCATAAAGCCATAATAAATGTTACAGCACATTAAGTCACCCCAGAGCTTCAGCACGATATTCCAAACCAAAGCCATTCAGTCGTGATGCTAAAAAGCACCCATTGCATTACCCTCAATGGCCCTGTGAAGAAACATGTAATGCCTGGCAATAATCGCCAGATGAATATGTGCTTGTGTGCAAGGGGGTTTAGTTGGAGAGATGACTGTAGTGAGTGGTCACATTTGTGAGTTTTAAATACAGTTGTATTCAAAATGATTAGCCCTCCTGTTATTTATATATGTTTGTTTAGTTTTTCAATTATTTTCCAAATTATGTTTAACAGAGCAAGGAATTTTTCACAGTATTTCTTATAATATTTTTTATTCTTCTGGAGAAAGGATTATTTGATTTTTATTTTGGCTAGAATAAAAGCATTTTTTTTTATATTAAAGGGCCATGAAACCCCCTCGTTTCAGCAGGG